CCCAAGGCGCTGGGCCAGCCGGGACGGGGCTGTCCGGGGGAAGCTGAGCAGGAATGCCTGCTGCCGCAGTGGTCGGAGCGCAGGGACATACCTGGCACAGGGACAGAGGGTGGTGAGGGGCTGGCACTGCTGCCTAGAGCTGTGGGCTCCCTGTCCCTGGAGGTGCCTGAGGCCATGGATGGGCAGCCTGAGCTGAGGTTGAGGGAGTGGGGCAAAAGGTGAGGGCAGCCAGCCTATGGCAGAGGGTTGTGGCTGGGGGGGCTGCGAGGTCCCTTCCAACCCAACCATGCTATGGTTCTATGATTTAATGATCTACAAGGCCTCTTTCAATCCAACGAGTCCATGGTTTTAACAAGCTCCCTTCCAAGCCAACCACCCTACAGTCCTATGATCTTTAGGATCCCTTCAACCCAATCGTTCTACAGTTCTAATAAAGTCACTTCCAACCCAACCACCCTATGGCTCTATGATCTTTAAGGTTCCTCCCTGCCCAACCATTCCAAGATTCTATGACACATGAGCCACCCTTAGGGCAGGTGTCCCAGCTTCTCTCCTGACACGCACTGGTCATTGCAGATGCAGATGACAGGCCGCAGCAGCAGGCTGCCCTCTCGCCTTCTCCGTCGCCCTCCGCTTGCAGCCGCCTCACCCTCAGGTTCCTTGCTGTTGATGATGTTCAGCAGCACAGTGATGGAGGCCTTGGGAGAAATGAAGGGACAGAAGCAAGTGCTTGCTGTTTAGAGTAATAATTAAGCAAATGGTGGCCAGATGTAAACTTGAGAAATGGGCCCATATGAACTTAATGAAGTTCTACACAGCCAAGGACATGGTGCTGCACTTAGGTCAGGGCAATCCCAGGAAAAGAATTCATAGGAAGCAGCCCTGCAGGGTAGGACTTGGGAGTTCAATGGATGAGAAGCCAACTATGGGCCAATAGTTACCCTGGCTGCATCAATAGAGAGGAGGCACAGGCTGCCTAGAGTCGTGGTTGCCCCAGGCCACAGCTAGACCCAGGGCAACCTGAGCTGGTGAAGAGCACACAGCCCATGGCAGGGGGGCTTTGGGGTCCCTTCCAACCCAACCACACTGTGATTCAAAGACATAAGCCCAGGCGAGGACTCACAGTGGGCGCGCCGTCGATCTCGTCGATGATCAGGCAGTTGGGTTTCTCCTCAGCACCCAGCACTGACTTCATCTGGGTGGCAGCTTCAATGCGTGTCTTGAAGGTCTCTGGGCTGCGGTCATCACTGTGGGACACCAACTCAGCTCAGTGCCACTCCAGCGTGACCGTCCTCACAGGGTCATACTGGTATTCATCTCACCTTGCATTCATCTCCACCACATTATACCCTGCATGCTGTGCAATGACATGTGCCAGCGTTGTCTTCCCCAGGCCGGGCGGACCACACAGCAGGGCCACCTGCAGGGTGAGAGGGCATGGGGAGGCATGGAGCAACCACAGTGCCAGGAGGACAGCTCTGCCTTTAGCCCTGGTTGTAGAGATGCTGGGAGAAGGTCACCATGGGAGGGAAAAATAGAGCAGGAGCTCCCAGAAGTGACAGCTGTCCCAGCTGGCATCACTCGTGCCTATCCGTATATTTATAGGACAATAGAAAAAGGTGCACAAAACCCCTTGAAGAATTATACTCCCATGAGACTTCCGACTTCCTACTATCTGTTTTTGCTTCCCTGTTTTTTTTTAAATAACCTTTCACCAAATGCAGCAAAGCTGTAAAATGGCCTGTTATCTCTGCTTCTTTTGCTCTTTCAGCATTCCTGCTCTTTTCTGAGTGCAGAAGCACTTGCCCAAAGCCATACCATGTTTGTCCATAGTGAATGAAGTAAAGTCCAACCTCTGAAAGGCTGGGGCTTCTTTCCTCTACCAGTCCATTCAATATGGCTGGCCCTGTTCCCCTCCCCTGGTGTGATGCTATAATAAGATGATAACAGCAGGGTAGCAAAGTCTTCATCTACAGCAAATGAGAACAAGACCAAATACAGAAGCCACAGATACAGAAATGAAGGAAAAGAGCTGCTTACTTCTGAAAGGCCTCAGGGAGGTAGGGACTTCTAGCAACAGATATCCTCACCACCACTGCCAACCCTTAAATGAAGCCTTGGAAGGGGGTGGATCCTGGCTCTACCCCTTCCAGTCACTCAGGTACATTGCATGCACCTGAGCTCTCCTGGGTTGACCCTGCCTTCCCACCAGGTGCTCAATCACTGTTTCAGGCCATGACTTAGCATTTCTGCTACACGTGGTTAACATATTACTCAACTGAAACAAAAGATTAAACAAAAAACAGTAAAAAAACACGGCGTATTTTTAAATGGGAGACATAGAAGAAGATTTCTCCTGGATCTGTACTGGAAGAGAAAGGACAGACACTGCTCCTCTCCAGTGCTGGGGTCTGGGGGACACTATGTGGATGTGCTCTGTGCCCTGCCCCGCTCACCTTGTACTTGGGTCTCTTGTGCTGGTCCAGCTCAGCCTCCAGGATCTCCTCTGTGAGCTGTGCCTTTGTTTTCCACTTGTTCTGCGGTTCCTTGGGCTGCTTGAACGAGGGGTGAGCCTCAGCCCCAGGCTTTGCCTTCTTCACAGGCTTCTCCTTACCAAAGACCACTGTGTCCCAAAGCTTCAGCCACTTCAGCAGGCAGCGGTTTGTGTACTGAGCAGCAAACAAGAATAAGAGCCATCACCAATGAACCTCACAAGGTTCTGGGCCAAGGGCTGGATGAAATGGCAAACCCAACCCAACCACCCACAGCATTAAGGAATAAAGCAAACATCCCCCCAAATCCCGCTGACCCCAGTAGCTCACATCATCACTGAGCAGCTCTATGTAGCGTCGGGGAGCAAACTTGTCCACCCAGAGGCAATGGGGAGTAGGCTCCTCCTCAATCATGTCCCCAGGCTGCTCTGTGGCCTCATCACTGGTCTCCAAGGAGCTAAAAGTGTGAACACAAGCCATGTGGCAGAAGGAGGCAGAGCTGGGAGCTCACCCCGTGTCTTCCAGGCAAGAATGCTGCAGGCAGATACGGATCCCACATCCAGACCCACTGCAGCATCTCACAACCGAGAGCGTGGTGAGGACAGGAGCTGCCCAGACCTCACCTGTTTATTATCTCCGTCAACTGCTGTGATGCTTCCACAGCTCTCCTCCGATGCTGGGGCACAAATAGGGTGAGAGGGGTGAGGAACGCCCCACCAACCCATGATGATGGGTGAGTGGGGCCAGGGGCTGTCAGAAAGGAGCAATACCTCTTCATACACTTGTTCCTTCAGGTAGGAGAAGGGGACTCCCAGCAGATGGAGTGGCCGGTTCCAGCCCACAGAATCACAGAGCTGTGAGGAACAGAAGAGTGCTGATGTTCAGTACATGTTCCATGTACCATCAGAGCTCCTGAACTGGATGGAGGTCCCCTCACCTCCATCCCTATCTGGGAGGGATCGTCCTTCACTGCCATGAAGACCCTGGTGCCCTCACTGGATGTCACATTGATGTAGTCCCCCAGGACAGGCGGGCGCTTGAGGACACGCTTTGGGTTCTCAGTGGGTGGTGAGCTCTGCAGGGGACCCAGGCCGCTCACCTCCAGCTCTGGGCTGGGAAATGCCAGGCTATTTCATCAGAGGGTGAGAGAAGGAGCAATCAAATCCCATCCATGGAGATCCCGCAGCATCGGTAGGCAGATGCTAAGCTCAGTGACACAGAGACACAGGGCCAACCTGGCAGCACGGGGACCACGGGGTGACGCTGAGCCAGGCACAAGCGAGACAGCATCCTGGAGGACATCTGCGTCCAGCTCACCATCCCCACCAAAGTTCAGCTTCTTCACAGCTTCCAGCCGTTGCCTTTTTGGCTTTGGAGCTGCACGAGACACAGAGGTGGGAGAAAGATGAGAGACACGGCACAGAGCAAAGCCCAGAGCAAGCTGGGATGCAGCAGGGAGCCACAGAGTGCTCACATCACCAGTGCAGCAAAACCTTACTGAGGGCCACAGGGGACTTTGCAGGCAGTGAGGGCAGTGGGGATGCGTGCAGGGCACATTCCTGGCTCCTCTTCCTGGCACTGGGTCCCACAGCCAGGCCAGCCTCCTCCTGTGGCTGCTTCCTGCTGCGGAACTTGGAGACTTTGGGGCCAGGAGGGGATGGGTAATCTGGAAGAGAGTGCAGGGTGGTAGAGGTGGGAAGGGACCTCCGGGTGCCTTCAGTGCCACCCTACTGCAGCAGAGACAATCAGAGCAGGGGGCCAGGTGGGTTTAGGGTAAGGGTTATAGTTAAATCTTCAAGAAGAACCCACAGCCTCCCTGGGTCCCTGTGCTTTCTCACTCGCACAGCACAGCACTGCTGCCTGATGGGACCTCCTGCACTCCGGTTCGTTCCCAGCGCTTCCGCTCTCACCACCGAACAGAGCCTGGTTCCACACTTACAGTCACGGGTGGGATCCCCGAGCCGCCTCCTCTCCGAGCCGGTCGGCACAGCTCCCGGCCCTCCCCCGTGGCTCCCCCCGGCAGCAGCGCACGACCCCAACCCCCGGCTGCGCCCACCCGCTCCCAGCAGCATCGAACAGGCCCGGCCATCCCCGCGCACCTTCCAGCTCGGCCAGAACCTCCAGCTCGGCGGCGAACCGCTCGTTGAAGTCATCCTCGTCCCCAGGGCTCTCCATCAGCAGCGCCGCGCACCGGAGCCACCCCGCGAGCCCGAGCTTCCGCCCGCCGCGCCGATCGGAAGGGCTAACGCTGATTGGCTGTGGGGCGCGGCTCAGCAAGCTGCGTGCGCGCTGATTGGATGCGAGGAGAATGTCAGCAAGCGGTGGACGCGCTGATTGGCTGCGGGGCGATCCGCGGCTGGCGCCGAGGTGACGCGTTGCGGCCGCTGCGCTCCGCCCGGCGGAGCCGGGGCCGCGCCGTAGGTGGGCCGGGAGCGGGGCCGGGGCGTGGGGCTCCGGGAGGGCTGCGCGGGGCCGCGGGAGCGAGCGATGCGGGGCTGCGATGCGCGGTCAGCCCCGGCCCATCCGGCCCATCCGGCCCCAGCCCCGCCGCTGTCCCCGCAGGGCGCTCGCCATGGAGCCGGGCACCATCGACAACCTCTGCATCCTGTACCAGAGCCCTGACTTCATCGTGGTCAACAAGCACTGGGACATCCGCATCGACAGCAAGATGTGGTACGAGACGCTGACCCTGCAGAGCCAGTTGAAGCACCGCTTCCCCGAGCTGGCAGACCCCGACACATACTACGGCTTCAGGTGAGCCCCCAGCCGCGGGCCGGGCCGTGCATCGGTGGCCGAGCGGCCGCGGTGCTCCCTCACGTCCCTCTGCTCCAGGTTCTGCCACCAGCTCGACTTTTCCACCAGCGGGGCCCTCTGCGTCGCGCTCAACAAAGCGGCGGCAGGAAGCGCCTACAAGTGCTTCAAGGACCGCCTGGTGACCAAAGCCTACCTGGCCCTGGTGAGCTCAGCGCTACCCGTACAAGCTGGGGGGTGGAAGGGAGTGAGCCTGGGCTTGCCCTGCAATCCAGTTTTGTCTCCTGTAGGTGAGGGGTCACGTTGACCAGAGCCACATGACGATCCGCTATGCCATCGGCAAGAACACAGCAGAGGGCATGACCCACATGATGTGCATTGAGGGGACAGAGGGTGAGCAGCACGCGCGCCCTGCTTGAACCCGGGGAGCTGGGCAGGGCTGACCCCTGGATCTTGTTGCAGGCTGTGAAAACCCCAAGCCGTGTCAGTCGGAGCTGATTGTGCTCGAGCACGGGTCTTACAGCGGAGATCCTGTGACCAAAGTACTGCTGCAGCCGCTGACAGGTGGGGCTCTGGGGGGGGCTCACGTGGTGCATGTGTCCATAGCTCAGGGTGGGATCTGTGCTTGCAGCCCTGGGTATTGGTGGTGCAAAGCAGTCCAGGAGGGGCTGACTGAAGCTGAGCTCATGGACTTGAGTTCTCCAACTGGAGAGACACCAATTAGAGGGACCATCATGGGGATGCCAAGGGGGGGTTTGGTGAAACCCTGTAGCCCCAGTTACTGCTCCCTCCCAGGGCGCACCCATCAGCTCCGGGTTCACTGCAGTGCCATCGGCCACGCCATCGTGGGGGACTTTACGTACAGCCACAAGAAGGACAGCAGTCCATACCGCATGATGCTGCACGCCTACTACCTGCGCATCCCCACCAGCAAGGAGCTCATCGAGGTCTGCACGCCTGACCCCTTTGTCACAGCCATGGATGGCAACTGGGTGCCGCAGCACATTGTGCGCCGCCTGGACGAGACCATCCAGGAGCTGAAGGACAAGGCAGTGCAGAAGGGGGACGTAGGGCAAAGCCAGCAAGCCGTGCCTGGGGATAAAGAAGAGGAGGCACTGAGCAAAGCCAAGAGCCTGGAGCTGGAGGAGCAGCGTGTGCAGTGCGAGCAGTGGTTGGCTGAGTGGGCTCTGGAGTGAGCGCCGGCCATTTCCACACGTTCCCAACCCTTTGCTCCATAGTTGTCTGATGGGTTCTGGCAGCCTACCCCCAGAGCCCAGCACTAACTCCACATCCACACTCTCCATAGGTTGTGGTTTCCCTCACCTCTGGGTCTGGGATTAGGCAGTTTTTAGCAGCAATTAGGATTGGTTTCTTTTTTTACCGTGCCCATCACCCACTTGGCCACCGGATGCCCCTTTCCTAATTGTGTGCCACAGCAGCAGTCAGTGTGCCATGCACCAGCTTAGAGTGACCCTGGAGCTTTGCGTCCCTATGCCGGGGCAGCGTGGCTGTGCCATGAGTGTGCTGGGTGCACCCACAGTCCCACAGCACTTGGGTGCTCAGTGTGCCCTCCGTGGGCTCTGTGTCCACTGCTCCATCCCACCGCAGTCCTCAGTGCAGGAGGTGGGATGACCCCTCCTTGCTTATTGCCCGTGAGCTGGGACTGCGGCACAGCCTCGCCACCTATCTACTTGTTTTTAAAGGTTTGTTGAAGATGAGCAAATTGGTATGAAGAGATTTTAAAGCTTTTTTTCAGATTTCTATGGAACAAATCTCGTCTTTTAGCAGTTCTGATGGTCCCAGAGATGCACGTATTTTTAGTACTTACCTTGTATTAAAGCAGCCAGCATCCCCACGCTTTTTTAAATAGATTCTCCTTTTACTAGCATCTCCCTTTTTTCCTAGGTGTGGAGGCAGCTCTGCTGAGATGGATCAGAGGACAGACAGGGGGGTGGCAGGGGCTCTGGGGATCAGCAGGGCTGGCTCCTCCCCACCAGGGCCCATCCCCACCTCCAGGTGTGCCCAGGGAGCGCAGGCAGCCACAGGCACTCCCGAAGCTGTAAATTAACAGCACTGAGTGTTTGCCAAAGAATTACTGTCAGGGATGTGCCGAAAGGCCGAAAGATTACGGGTGACATTTGCTGCATCAGAGCTGGGATGCGCCCCATCTGTGCAGGAACATCCGCATGTGGCTGCGGCCACACGCTGGGGACACTGTGCCCTCAACTGCAGTGGCAGCGTGTGGACACTGTGCCATGGGGATGGTCACAGCTGGAGCACTGCGTCCCACAATCCCGCACTGTGTTGCACTTTGAGTGATATTGCAGGAGCCAACCCTAAAGCTATTGCCCACGGGCAGCGCTGCCCACATCACCTCCACGCGGCGTTCGCTGCATTTTGTGTAGATCCACTTTGTGCACGTGAAAGCTTGGGAGGGGTCATGTTTGGGTATTTGTGTGTTTCGTGGTCTCTGTACCCCTGGTAACAACCCTTATTTATTGTGTATTTGTGGGCATTGCCATAGTAAACCATCTCTTCCTGATACTCTTCCTCTGTGGTTCTTCCTTCTCTCAGTGCTGCCCCAGTCACTGTGGGGCCAATGCAATGCCACGGACTGGGGCTGGTAGGAATGAGCCCGAACCGGTCCAGCAAGACAGCCCCACACTCCAACTCGGCCAACCCAACCTGTTGTGTCATCATCACACTCTCATCCTTATCCAGCTGAAACCCCACAGCTGAAACCAGCAGGGTCATCCATCCCACAGCCATCCCGATCGGTGACCCTGTGCTGGTAGTGAAGGTTTGTGGGGCAGATGCCACAGCCCAGCCCTTCCCCAAACCTCGGTCACCTCTCACCTGTCCCATGCTGTGTCCCCATAGGGTTCATGGTCCTCTCTTACACAGTTCTGCCCTGGGGACATTTTCCATCCCCATTACCCCGATTCCACCCCGTTCATACTTCCCTTGACATTGGCATTGGTTGAGCTCCCAAGTCCCTGAGGCCATGAGGTGGGGGAGGGTTGGGGCTTCAGATGTCACCCAATACTCCATCCCCTCTGTGTGCATGCCTTGGGGGGGCTCAGCCCCTCTCCTCCCCTGACAGCACAGCACCAAAGCCATACCTTGATGTCAGCCAGAGGGCAGTGACAGCGCCAGCGGCTGGGACTGTTCCAAAACAAAGCAGCAGAAGTGGAGGAAAAGTTCCTCCAAATTCCTGCAGAGTTCAGAGCTCTCTGATGAGGACGGGTGGGAGCAGTGCAGCCCTGCATTGTGGTTGTAGGGACAAGCACCATTTCTTAATGGCACTTTAACACCATTGCTGAGGTTGGCATGGGTGGAAAAACAAAGAACAAAGGGTTTGTGTGCATCCTTCAGGCTGTGAAGGTTTTAAGGGTTACACAGCAGCTGCCCAGGAGCATCCCCACAGCTGGGTGGCATGCAGTGTCCCCACCTCACTGCCACCAACATCCAAAGGACCCCCAGAAAATACCAGGGGCCACTTCCTGTGATGGACCCTAAGGCAGTTTTGGGGCTGGGTGTGAGCTCTGAGTAGGGTGCCTGTGGCTACCACCCCTCAGTGGCACCCCAGAACAAGGGCGAGAGACTGGCAGAGCTCCCACATTGCTGTCCCCCAGCTCTCTCCTGCCAGGGCTCAGCACAAGGCACATAGCACGCATTGGGTTCCCAGCATCATCGTCACCATCTGGGTTTGTGCTGTGTCCCCTTGGTCTCCCTTCCTTATTTTTAAATCCTTTCTCTCCCAGTATGTGCTGGATGGCATCACAACAGGCACTCATAAAACCGTAAGGAAGGAAACAGACTGCCCATGGGATGCATTCCCAGGTAACTCAAAGGGCTCTCACTGGCTGGGGGGCACTCTGTCCTCATGAGGAGCTGCAGAACCAGCAGCTGTCATTCCCTGGCCTCCAAGTTCAAAGTGACCCTTTACATTAAAAAAAAAAAAAGAGAGAGAGAGAGAGAGAGAGAGAGAGAGAGACTTTACAAAACAGAGTTGAGAAACTGCTTCCGTCACAACCCATCCTGCAGCCCCATCCCCACCCCACACAGATAAGGGCCGTGCTGCTCCGCTCCCTCTGCTCATCCCTGGCTGCAGGCGACTGCAGGTGCAGGTAGGTGACAAAGCCGTGGGCAGAGGGTGGCCAGAGCTGGGTGGGATGGTGGAACGGGATGGGACTTAGTGGGGAAATGATTTGCAGTGACCCCAATTGTTCTGCATGGTGGTGATCTGGGTTCTGGAGCAAGGATTTATTTTCTAGGGGGGTTTATAACAGTGGGGTTGGGGTACAGGGGGTGAATCCTTGGTGGAACTGCTCACCATTCTATTGGTGTGCATCTGAGGGGTCCCAGTGCAAGAGAACTCATCACAGAGCCCACGTTATCAATGGGCATGGAGTGAAGCCTGTCCTCTGCTCTGCAGGACTCAGCACCCTGCGTGGGCAGCACCAGGCTGAGCTCCAGCTCCAGCAGCACAAGGAGGCACCCAGCACCAGACTCCCAGCACAGGCAGCATGGTGTGGGCAGCCTCTACCCTCCGTGAGTCCCTCTGCCCCCAGACCTGCTCCCAGCCCACAGCTGGCACTGTGCTGGGAATGGGCACACGCACTTCTCCCAGCTCTGGGGCATCACTGCTCTCCCTCTAAGCTCATCTCCATGGTGTCCAGGTTGGGCTGCAGGGTGGTTAAGAACTCCGCTCTCTTCACACAGCATTTACCAAATGTTATTCAATTGACAAAGAAAACTTCCCCAGGCTGAAAGCTGGAGCTGCTCCAGCACAGCCCCTGTATGCACACTGCTGAACTTTTCACAACACCATTTCATTTTGTTGCAGGATTTCCTGTTGCCCTCATGCAGGCAGCATTGGTGAGTCACTGAGCATTGATAAATGGCTCCAAACCAACAGGGCTTTAAGCAGAGTTTGGGGCTGATGTCCACCTGCTCTCCTTTACTGCACATCAGGGACAATTTCATCTCTGAAAGAACAGTTGGGCACTGGCACTGCTGCCCAGGGAAGTGGTGGGGTCACCATCCCTGGAGGTGCTCCAGAACCATGGAGAAGTGGCACTGAGGGACGTGGGTTGGTGGGCATGGTGGGATGGGTTGGGATTGGGCTTGGGATGCAAGAGGTCTGAATGATTCTATGATTCCATAATTCCCCCCAGGCCACTCTCCTCCTCGGTGCCATCCTCGCTGCCACGGAGCCATATGCTGAGTGAGTGCCGACCCCAGCACAGAGTGCAGAAGTGTTGTTTGCTTTGGGCGTTGTGTTTCTTCCCATGTGCATCATGGGCTCTGTGACTGGCACTGGGCTGGGGAAGATTTAAAGCCTGGCGCAGCCAGTTCTGGTGGCAGGTTGGGTTTCAGCCTTATCCTCTTCTGTTGTAGCACAAACAAAACAAAAATTCTCTTTTTATGGGGCTGGCACAGATACAATGGGAGATTCTGGACTCCAAATCTGGGCTCCACTGGCTTCTGTCTTACTCTAAGCCCAGGGCATTGCCACTGCCCTAGGGCACATTCATGCCTGCGTTCTGCCATGCTTCATTTGTCACCCATCTCTTTGTCATCCACCTCCTTTGTCACAGCCTCGGGGTGCTGGTGTGCACCATGGAACCAGGCACCATCATTGCTTTGCACCCCAGTATCCTGGAGCACCTGAAACTCTGCCCCATGCTGACGGGTGCCCAGCAGGATGCTGTCAATGCTGTGCTCCTCAGGGGCAGTACAGTATATGGGTAAGGAGCCCAGCGGTGGGCAGGAGGGGAGGTGTTCCCTTCAGAATGCTGAGCTGTGCTTTTTGCAGACATCCTTCAGGCTGGGATTTGGAGACTTTGCAACATTTGGGGCCACTTGCACTGGCTTTGAACCAGACCACGCTGAGCTTGGTGGATAAGGTGAGTCAACCCTAAATGGCCCATATGTCGGGCCAGCCCACAGGCATGGGGCCCAGCATCCTGAGGAACTCAGATTCCTCTGCCCTCCCTGGCAGGCAGCACGGGAGGCATTTGCCAGGAGCATCGCAGCCACCTACAGCACCCAGGGATGGGAGCAGCGGCAGCAGTCCCTGACCCTGCTGACAGCCATGGCAGCAGCATCACACCCCCGACCAAAGCGGAGCGCAGACCAAGAGATGCCAGCCCCAAATGCACCCTCCCCGCCTGCAGGCTGCATGCAGGAGCCCATCACCACCCGTGTGCTCTCTGAGAGCATCCTGCTCCTCGACTATGAAAGTCCCGAGCAGTTCTACCTCTGCCTGAGCGACAACGTTCTGCAAACAGACCTAGAACATGTGCTGGAGCAGCCACTCACCACCGAGTATCTCTGGGTGCTGAAAAAAAGGCTACAGGAGGTAAGGGGTGAACCAGGGCACGAGCAGTGGTGCAACTATTTGGGATGGGGAAGTCAATTCTTACTTTAATATAGACACCACAAGCATCCCTGCCTTCCCCACCCCTCTTTGCTGAGTGCAGGTGTACCCCACCGGGATGCCAGATGCCCAGCTCCGGAGGCTGGGGCCGCTGTCCCGCCTCTACACAGTGCAGGAGCTCAGCCAGTGGCAGGTGACCTCAGCAGACACACTGTGCGCCCTGCTCAACCCCTCAGATGGCAAATGGAGCAGTGCCCAGGTACCGAGGGGCACAGGGACAGATGCAGGAGAGCCCAAACGAGGGCTGCTCTGAGCTCGTGTCTGTGCCCACAGGAGCTCACCCCCCCATCTCCTGGAGCCCAAGGCACAGGGGTTTTGTAGTGCGTTTCTGCCAAATACATTTTCCTCTTCTCGAAGCATGCGGTGCATGAACTGTGTTTTCCAGAAGCAGCAGCTGATCACAAGGTTCCTGGAGTTGGGGGGCAACCTAACAGGGCCCTTGCTTCAGCAAATTGGTGGGATTTTCCTGTGTGACCTGAACGAGGAGCAGATTGAGAAAATACCTCCAGAAGCAATTGGGTAAATCACTCTATAGGGATGCTCA